TGTGTGTGTGTTGCGTGTGTGTGTGTAATTGTTCCTTTAAGTATTTTTTTTTACACATTTTTGTCTTTTTTTTTATTAAAGTTCATTTTACCTTTTCTTTTTTTTCTTTCTTTTGCTCTTCATTCTCGTCAAATTGAGTTTGCCTTTTATAATTCATTTTTGCTATTTTCTTTCGCGTCTGATTAATTTCGTTTTAATAGATTTGACGAGATCTTAATTCATGTGGGTTTTCATGTATCAACTCGCTGAATAGGTTGACGCTCGGGGAGATTCGCTTTGATGGTCACGCAGCCGACTCGGGAGCCAAGCGAACACTTGAAACGGCGTCGGCCGTTCTAATTAATACCAGGTGCAACGAAAGGATGATGGAAAAGAAAATCACTTTTCTATTATTATTATTATCATCATTATTATTATTTTTATTAATATTATTATTAATAATAATAATAATAATCATTTTCAAATATGGTTTTGGTTCTTTTTGCTATTATATAACAGAAAAGGAAGCAGCAGTCTTTCTGATCCGCTGAAGATGAAATTTCAAAACACTATCTACAAAATTACCTTGACAAAGACATAGAAAAGAATTATGAATTGTTCCTAATTCGGTTAAAGATAACAGAATAAGGACATTAAATGCGTAGTATAAGTCCATAAAAAATATACATTCGTATAAAAATATTTAAGATGGAATGTATTTAATATTACGAGGATTGTCAGTGGTCAGGAATGAATGCAAGCATTACTGATAGAATAGGGCTATTATATGTATAATGTAAATGCATTGCTAATGATTTTACTATAGGAAGGCATTGAAAATCAGGAAGAAATGGATTGTTAGATGTCAGGAATATATGTTTAAATCTTTTCCTATGTTGCTAATACTTTTCACTTTTTTACACTTTTCATTGGTAATCCCTGAAATTTTTATCCTGCCTTTGAGACCACAGAAGGAAATTTATGTGCAAACCGAACCTTTTTTTCATAATTGTGTAAACTGTAAACAAATACGTTTTTCTTTTTGCAATTTTAAACAGTGGTTGTCTTGATTTAAAATTGTGTGCCTCTTGTGTTTTTTTGTTTCTACTAAGTTTTTGTGTTTTGGCACAAGAACTTGGATTTAATGGAATCAAATTTTTATAAAACCCATAGCTGGAGGTGGTAAAGAAGAGACAGTTCATACTTTACTGAAGAGCATCATTGTAAAAGTAAACACAACTGACTAGGCTGAAATTTGAACTCAGTTTGCTGATTTCAATTTCTGAACTGATAACTATTATACTACTTGCATGTCATCCACCCATAATTCAATATTTCTTACCATTCATTCATATAACCTGTCCCTACACATTTCACACTGCCCTATGAGTAATCCAATGACATATAGTACACTGTAGAACTTTGTTCCCACAAACAACTTAATGGAATACCAGGTGCTGTAAGCTTCAATGTGAGTGGTGTAATGGACAAATGGCTTGAAATTAGAAATCAGACAGCCAAGATCCAATTCCAGTCAGGTTCGTTATATTCACTTACACACAAATATCATTGGGAAAAGTAAAACTCTACCTCTTCTTCTACCAGTGTTATAGACAAGCGTATGGCTGCAAGAAAGAAATACGACAACAGCAGAAATAGATTTACGGGGTTTATTTCAACAGGAACGTGTGGGTTTGGGACAGCTACCTTGTGGTAAAGTTCATAAGCCGGCTTCGGATCTAGGTCGATCTCTCATAGTAGTTCACACATGTTGATGGTGGTTGATGCTTCCCTGCTGTCAGTAGCTGACCGTGACAGGTCTCTACTCTGGGCACCTGTTGACTGCCTGTTGAACTTTCCTGTGACCCCTTTTATAGCGTTTTTTAATGGCTTAACAGGCTCGAAAAACAAAGCGGGTATAATTAGGAGGGAAGCATTTTTATTGGACGAAAAATAGAGCACTTTAAATATTATTTTATTTTTCGACCGGAACACGTGTGTCGGGAACATTTGTAAAGAAAGATAATGGTCAATTTGTGACGGGGCTTTGTCCCGTTCACATCCAGTTCTCGCTCTTGAGTATTTTCCTGTAAATCAACCGAGATATGTCTTATTTTATTTTATAACACCAGTTATGTGTTAAAAAGTAGAACTTGTTTCAGTAAAAATCATTATTATCTATAAAAACTTCTTAACATGTAAATAAGCTATAATATTTTCTGGTTTTAAATAACCTGCAAAAGGTTGATAATCCATCAAATACAAATCAATAAAATTCACAAACAGATGACTTGTATAAACCTCACCTGCACCTATATCATCATCAGTTCCATGATCAGTTGTGCTTATAAGGTCATTGCCCAGAAACTAACCAACTTTCTCCAAATGTCTTATTTGAAATTGTGGAGAGCCATGATTCCCCATGTCCTAAATGGAAACGGCATATAAAAGAAGAAGAATATAAAAAATTGTAACTGAAATTCCTATTTTGTTCCTGATCATTTTTTTTAATTTCTTGCAATGAGACTTGTTCATTCATTCATGAAGAGAAGGACGAGGATCAGAACCAGGGCATCTGAATACGTCGATTGACGTTGCATTTGAATATTTGGAGATTAGAGCTATCAGGGAGGCAATTAAGAAGAAGGGAGTTTCACTGTCGGGAAGTGTGAGATAAGAAGCCGTTGGAGTAGAAGAGACTGTGACATTTGACAGTGAAAGGGTGGGACTGAGATGATGCCAACCTAGCAACACGCTTAAATTCATGCAGTTTAGGAACCAGAGAAAGTAGCTCATGGGAGCAGTTACCGTGAAAGTATTTGTAGAAAAGACAGAGGGAAGTGACGGCACGTCTGTGAAAGAGCGACTGTAGACGAGATGCCAGATCAGGATCAATCATATTGCATATCCGTCTCTGGATTTTGTCGAGGACCTTGAGACAGCAGAGAGCTCCAGACCATATATGACAGCAGTATTCTATGCGAGAGAGAATGGTTGATTAATAGACTTGAAGGATGGACGCGGGCGATAAAAACTTTCTGGCGTGACACAGAGAACCAACTTTCCTTGCGGTAGATGAAGCTATTGATTCAATGTAATTGTTCCATCTCAGGTCAGCAGACAGCGTGAGACCAAGCAGGCGCAGAGAGACTCTCTCGTGGAGTTGAGCATCAGACATTCTAATGGCAGGCAGGAAGGGTTCTATGTGGTGGGTAAAAGAGAGCAGATTTTTTTTTTGTGGCATAAATGTTTACCAGCCATTTCTTGCTCCGGTCATAGTAGAACGTGTATCAGTAAAAGCCATTATTATATTTAAAAAAGAAAAAAATCCACCGAGAGACCCAAATTTCAAGTGAAAATTCTCCTGTGGTTGGATCTAAAACAAAAGGATTTCGAAGAAATTTACCAAAGCACGAACAATTTAAAGTAAAAGAAACCCCTTTCCAAATAACTGCTGTGAAAGTAGGTCTTTTTTTTTTTTTTTGTATTTTTTTTTTTGTTGTTTTTTGGGGGTTTTTTTCAAAGGATTTGCACTTTTGTTCTTTTTTACTACCTTCTTGTATTGTCTTCTCTTTTTGTCATTTAAAAAATATTTACACTATTTACATTATTCGGACTATTGTCCTCATCTTTGTCGCCATATTTATCGCAACGTTTCGGCCGTTGTACGCTCCGGCCTTCTTCAGGTGGTTGGAATGTCGAACTGAACCCTTTATTTCGCTCACTGGGGTAGACTGTTCTAGTTCCACATGCCATATTTGATGGATGTCAGTTATCAGTTATCTACCGTTAATTTTCCCTCTGAAAGTTCTCCACTGCCTTAACCGGGTATTGAACTCACACTCTTGGGTCTTGAGTCAAATGGGTCTTGTCACTGGATCTAACCAACGCCTTTATCCAATGTGCCATGTGTCTTTGAATATGGCGACAATGATGAGGACAATAGTCCGAATAATGTAAATAATGTACATAATACCTCATCTCAGAAGTATAGACAGATACTGAATGATCGGATAAATATGGCAACAAAGATGAGGACAATAGTCGGAATAATGTAAATAGTGTGCATAATACCTCATCTCAGAAATATAGACAGATCCTGAAGGATCGGATAAATATGGCAACAAAGATGAGGACAATAGTCCAAATAATGTAAATAGTGTACATAATACCTCATCTCAGAAATATAGACAGATACTGAAGGATCGGATAAATATGGCAACAAAGATGAGGACAATAGTCCGAAAAATGTAAACAGTGTACCTAATACCTCATCTCAGAAATATAGACAGATACTGAAGGATCGGATAAATATGGCGACAAAGATGAGGACAATAGTCGGAATAATGTAAATAGTGTATATAATACTTCATCTCAGAAATATAGACAGATACTGAAGGATCGGATAAATATGGCGACAAAGATGAGGACAATAGTCAGAATAATGTAAATAATGTACATAATACCTCATCTCAGAAATATAGACAGACTACAAAATATTTCTCCTTTCCCAAACTGTATCCCCACGCCATTTTTTTTTTTTAGTAATCCTTTTATCAGAAATTGTCATCCTGCCTTAATAAGCGTACAAGCGGAAATTTTTATGAAAACTTTTTATTTGTACATTTTTTTGTTTTTGTAATTATGCAATAATTGTGTTTTCTCTTTTGAAATTTTTAGCAATGTTTGTCTTGGTTGTCTTTATGTTTTATTATTCCTACGAGATTAAGTTTTTTTGTTTTTTTGTTTTTTTCTGTGCTTGGTACCAAAACGAATAATTTTTTTATACGATCAGCATTAAACCTAATTTCCACCTGTCAAGCTGCAGACTTGTTATTGTGCGAATTCAATACGTTCATAGATTTACCTTATTATTATTACGCTATTATCAATGAGCTTAATTTTAAAAAAAAAAAAAGGCCAGTTCATCAAAATAACAGTGGAGTTACCTCTCTCGCAGGTCAGAAGAAAAGAAAGGCTTTTCGAACTTATCGAGTGGATACCAGAGATCGAATGACATTTCAAGTTTGTAGCTGGCCTTCTCCACCATTTTCTGCGGGGACTTTGACCTGCGCATGCTCAGATTGCAATTCGGTGCCACCTTGTCTAGGTTGAAGGTCCGCGAGAGTGTCAGCAAATGAAAGAGCTGGGAACGAAATGAAGGAAGCATAAAAGAAATCCGTGGAAGAAAGGACAGAAAAGAATGGTAACAAATAAAAGGAAGGAACAATTGATTGAAATGAATGAAAGAGAAGTAAAGGAGGCATTAAGAGAGAAGAATACGAAGAACTGAGAGAGAAGGAAAGAAGGTAATGAGAGAGAAGAAAATGAAGGAAGAAGAGAGAATAAAAGAAAGGGATGAGAGAGAAGTAAAAGAGGGATAAAGAGAGAAGAATACGAAGAATTGAGAGAGAAGAAAAGAAGGTAATGAGAGAGAAGAAAAAGAAGGGTTGAGAGAGAAGTAATGAAGTACTGAGAGAGAAGAAAAGAAAGGAATAAATGAGAAGAAAAGGAAGAACTGAGAGATAAAAATAAGGAAGAACTAAGAGAGAAAAATAAAGGAATGAAAAGGAAAGGAAAAATAAGAAAAGAAAATAATGAGAAAGAGAGAGAGAGAGAGAAGTAAATGAAAAACTGAGAGAGAAGAAAAGAAATGAACCAGAATTAAATGAAGGAATGAGAGAGAGAAAAAAATTATTGAATAAGAAGAAAAGGAAGAACTAGGAGAGAAGAAAATCAAAGAAATCAGAGAGAATTACCCCAGCCCCTCAACCTCCGGTGTCTTCCTCTTTGGGTTGAGGTGTCCACTCGGTCCGAACCGAACTTAGGGTAACTGGCCGTACGCTCTCTGAGTACCCGTAGATTATTTCAACCGGTCAACTGGTCAAGTCCTACTTGCTGCCCACGCTGTGTTAGTTTTTAGATCCAGTAAGCGGGGTGTTGTCCATACGTTCACGGTCGACTGGGGATATGGACACGGCTGTGAGAGTTGGCGGTAGGAAGTTTAGAATGTAGCAAAATAAAACAAGAAATAATATCTGCAGAAGCCAGACAACAATGGGGGAAATATTGACGTCTTTTATATAAGAAGATAACATCAGAACAGAGGTTACAGGGAGAATAAAAACATTTAACATAAATGAGAAAAGAAAAAGAAAAAGACAAAATGCATCCAGCGAATTCCCAACAGAGAGAGGGTTTGTGTGTGATAAACGCGTATTGAATCGCCTGGGGTAGGTTTATGACTAGTAGTCCAGTCTCATACAGACTTCTCAGAACAGGGGGGTAGTCTTCCTTCTCTAATTCTCCCGCAAAATCTCTCAGTCTCTCGTCTGACTCGTTCTCGACGACGGTCTCGTTCTCTCGAGTCTTTCTCCCGTCTGTTTTGTAGCACCGCGACCCGTAATGGTCGCCTCTCGGGTGCTCACGCACGTGACGACGATGTGCCGACCGATCGCGGTCTCCCGTCTCTTCTCTCTCCCGTCTGGCCTCTTCCGTCTCGCTCGACCGTCTGCTTCCTCTTCAGCATAACTACGCTGGTTTATATAGATAAATCTGTTTGATCATGAATCGACCCTTGGCCCGGCACGCGATTATCATGAGTGCCAAAAACTATCCCTTGACATGTAAACCGATTCTCCAATTATTTACCACGAGTTCTTCTCGCTTCACCAAAATTATACTTTGGGATATCTAAACATTGATTCAACCTTTTAATCAAAACAAATACTGTTAAACAAAACCAAATATCTCGTAGCCTGAGTAAGCTCTATTTCAATTTTTAACCGATAAATTTTATTTAGATCATTTTTTCATTGTTTTTTTCTAATGACCCAGATTTAAAACATCGCCTCCTGCCTGAGATCGTGTTTCTCATCGGTAAACACACATCTTAACCCAAATTGTACTTTGATATATAAACACCATTTCCACTTCCAGTCAATAAAAGTTATATTTTCGTGTGTGTTCTCCAGACCCTCCTTTCATCGCTGGTCCCAGAAACTGCATCCTTCCTGATTTAAGTATACCTCCTCTTTGTTTGAATCTCCAAGTCCTTGACATTACAAAAGTGGTTCGAATGTTCGCTCAGCATCCTTCAAAACATTTCCCGTCGCCTCGAAACTATGATCGTCTTTTGAGGAGACCGTCCAGCATTTGCACCGAAAGGAGGACATCCATCATGAACATAATGTCTGTTTTTTTTTGTTACCAAACAATTCGCCTCCTTCGCAATACGATGTTCAGCTTTTTAATGCGTCCTTGGCTAATTAAAAATTGGTCACAGATCTCAGTGTCCCAGAGGTTTTCGTCCTCAGTCAAAAACGCTTCCCAGATATTTTAACTTCCACGTCTGGATTCTCGTGTTCGTGTTTTTAAAATCGCATTTCGGGCTCAACCATTTGACTGAATATCATGCATTCTGTCTTCTTGTTCAGTTTATCTAAACTTCAGTTGAATAAAGCCGTTTTCTACCAATTCTCTGAAAAGGTTTTGTAGTTTCTTTTCCTGTCTTCTTATCAAAAAGAGAGCAATACTAATTGAATAATTTGGACTGGCGTTTATAGATTACGCAAAAGAATTTGTCAAATTAATGACACAAACCACATCACTTGAGGACTTTGTCTATTTGGAAAAATGTTAAATGATTAAAAATGTAACTCGAAAGAGTAAAACCGTCTCATATTCTTAGAAAATATATTGAGTGCCTATAAAAAAAAATTTCATATGGATGTGAGATGAATGGTGTCAAATCTGTTCAGATTTATTGCGCTTTCAAGTATAAGCCTATACTAAAATCAATGATGAAAAAGGGTTTATTAGCGATTTAATACTATCAGTTTTTTAAAGATCAAAATGACTGTGTTAATAGCTGATTCGGACTGGCGAAAAATACAGGATCCCCTAAGAACTGTAAAAGCAAAAAAAGGAAACCACATCAATTGCAAAGAGACAAAAGTGTTGTCAACAGCAAAAGAAAAGTTCAAATGAAAACTAAATAAATAAATAATGGGAAGTGGTTTTACAGCCTCGTCATATGGAAAGATGACATAATGCCAATATGACACGGACTGGATTAGAAAAAGATAAACTGTCAAAAAACTATACAACCGTTTCTAAGAAATGGGAAAAAAGGTTTTGAAATAAAGAGAAATGTTCTGGGCAAAGCTATTCAATTATATTGAATTGAATGCAGGACAATGGCACTCACAGATGAAGAAAAACTGTAACCAAATAACAGAAACCACATCACAGGAGGATACTGAGAATTCCATGGACAATGGAGAAAGCAACATGAAACCTAAAGAAAATGGTAATAATCGAAAAATTCCATATAATATCAGAATCAGACAGCAAACAACCGCTTTGAACAAAAGAGGAAGGAGGGTCAAGAAACTTAATTCCACACTACTTTATTGAGAAAAGGAGATAAGAGAAGGAAACCGTCATCAGTACTAGAAAGAATAGATAACAGATCTATCTTGGCAAAAAAAATGGATCAATGACCATACGAATTTAGTCTAGGAGAAAATATCCTGAAGAAAGCCGCACCATAATAGAATTTTCGCATTAACAATTATCTGAGAATAAAACCCAAAGAATTTCCAGAAAACTCAAGTCATATTTAACCTATAGCTGGGATCGGGATAGATTCAGACTTTTCACGTAGTGAATATAAAAACCCGAGTGAGATCCGAACTCGGTTCTCTAGTTTCTCATTCGGAGTCACTATCCATTGCCCCAAATATCTAAACCATCAGAAATAAACTTTCGAACAAACAAAAAATGTCTTTAAATAGAAGATTACTAAACATATAATCCTATGGAAAAACAATGCTTCATTGAACAATGTGGATCCCTGAACATTTTCACTAAAATGCAAAGAATTGTGTATCTCTGATCATTTTTTGAGAACTTTTAAAGGCAACAACTAAAATGGATAAAGCATGTAATAATCATAAAAATAAAAAATAATCAAAATGTTGATAAAATAAAAGAAAAATAAAAGGTTATTTTTGTTTAAAATGCAATCACAGATTAACAGTGTTGCAATATCTACTGCACGTTACCAGTATGTTTTTTTTTTCTTTCTTTCAATGATAAAGGTTTTATAAATTTCAACGTCCAAAATATATTTCCACCAGTGTTTGAATTTCGGAACTTAGCTTTGGGTTCCAAATAAAATATAATCTATAAAATCCAGAATCTATTAGATGTTTGTGATACACACTGTTGGAGTGAAAGAAACTGTTAGCAAAATTAAAATCCTGTTTTAAAAAAGAAATTTTTTCTTTTTTATTTATGGTAACTAATTTTGCTTGTTCATCCCATTAATTTCTCGTTTCCTGGAAATTTATAGATTAAACAACTTTTAAATATAAAATAGTAACTTTTCAAATGTATGTCTTGTTAATTTGTCCAGGAAACAACCCCCAGTCCCCCATAAAATTATTGAGATTTATTGTATATACCATCCAATTATGGCTCCTCTCTTTAAAATCAGGGGAATATCTATTTTTTCTCTATCGTTCACTAACTCTCAAGATTACTTGGTCATTTGCGATTATAAAACATTCACCATTACAATTAGCACAAACAAATTCAAGAATTCATCCGTTACCAATCAATCCTCCATGTACCATCATAATACTCTGTCTCTACTTTCTGGGAAGCTAAAAAACATCTCAATCTGTGACGTAAAAATTTGATTATAAAATATTTATACATAAAAAATCTATGGATGATTTGCAATGAGAGGAGAGGGGATGAACTTTTGTCGTACTAAATATCAAACAAACAAACCAAAGATCAAAAAGTGGTATAAATAAAAAATATTTAGAGAATATATATATATATATATATATATATATATCATATATATATATATTTATAGCGGGGAAAAATATTGGGACCACAAATTTTTAATTTCTACAGAAAAACAGCCAATTTTGATTTATTGAAATAAATCCCATTTATCCATTTTAATGGATGAAAAAAATTCATACAATGTAAATTTTTTTTTTCTAAACTTTTAATTTGTCAATAACTGTTTAGAATATTCAAGTGAATATTCTAGAATGTTTTTCAAATAATGTTATCAGTAATTATTTTTAGCCTCTTCTCTTATAAACAGAACATTCTGTAACTGATATTGCTGAATGGCGTTCTGATCATGGCAAGTTCTAAAAATTGACCAAACAGCATAAAAGAACTGATTGTTAGACCTGGGAAAGAAGGTAAAAGTTATAAACTTGAATCTCAAAAACCTGAATATTTCTTTTATTACGGTCAACTTTGTATTTGTTGCAATGTATAAAAATCTCGTTTTTGAGATGGACAGATGAAAACGAAATTATTGTTTGGACCAATTTCTAAAAATAATGTATGGAGGAAAGATGGCGATGCCTTCAAACAAAAAAAAACACAGTTCCAACAGTTTTGAAATTTGGTTTGGGGATGTTTTTTTGAATAAAGGTACTGGCAACATATCAGTAATAAATGGTAGAATGAATGCTGCAGCATATCAAAATATTTTGGAAACAAAATTAATGATTTCGGTTAAAAATCTTGAACTTCCTCCTGATTGGATCTTCCAACAAGATAATGATCCTAAGCATACTGCAAAATCTACAAAGAAATGGCTGACTGAAAATAATGTAAATATCCTGAAATGGCAAAGTCAGTCCTCAGATTTAAACCCAGTTTTAGAATTTGTGGCATTATTTGAAAATTCAAATCTAATCGAGGGCTCCAACAAACATCCCGGATTGGAAGACTTTATGCGAAGAAGAATGGAACAAAATACCAACTAAAATTTGGTAAATAATTAATTGAGAACTACAAGAAGAGGTTGGTTGCTGTAAAAGTGAATAATGGCTATTCTACAAAGTATTAAATGAAGATTATGTATTGTAATTGTAAAAAAAATCACTTGATTCCACTAGTGAAGTTGAATTAAAAAGAATAAAAACTTGTAATTCTAAAAGATGATTTATCTAAAAGAAACACTAACTTATTGGAGTTTCCTTTTCCCCGGTTTTCAGATAAGACGTTTAGCGATTTTGATACCATTTGTCATAAGAATCACTGGAAAACATTTTGAGTTATTCAGCTAGAAAGAGAACAGGTTAAAATCAACTGAGCAATGGTGAGAGAAAAAAGATCATTCAGACCTTCGGTAATGGTACGAACATTCATAATCTGGCTTTTATCTTCAAAGTCCATTCAATGACCATCAAGAGAATGGTGAATACGTTTTTAAAAAGAGGGAACAGTAGAGAGGAAAACTGGATCAGGGGGTCACAACAGGAAGAGGGATCATCATTTCAACTTAGAGCTAAATACATTCAATAGTGTCATAAAAACCTTGGAGAATTCCATTAAGATATCTTTAATCATTTCTAAGATAAACTTATTCACTGTTCTCTAGATGGTTTCAGTTGGATCCTGATTGGAATTTCCAACAAGATAATGATCCTAAGAACACTGCAAAATCTACAAAGAAATGGCTTGAAGAAAATAATGTAAATATCCTGAAATGGCCAAGTCAGTCCCCAGATTTAAACCCAATCCAGAATCTGTAGCGTTATTTGAAAATTGAAATCCAACTGAGAATTCCAACAAACATCCCGGATCTGAAGAACCTATGCGAAGAAGAATGGAATAAAATACCAAATAAAATTTACAAATCATTGAACACTAA